AACTATAAAGAAAAAGTATCTGTCATCAAAGTACCCTGGAAAGGGAAGGGGTATCCACATAGTGAGCCTATGGTAAAGATCTACAATTCACAATGAAGGTTAAATATTGTGGCACACCTTGAGAAGGCGTCAGTGAGCCCAACTGCAATTTGCCTACTCTGCCTTGGGGGTCAGGGTTCCCACCAAACACCTTCCTTCAAAGCAGGACGAGGCGGGCTAGCCATTCCTGAGTAGAGAGTTTAGTCCTCTGCCCAGCCAGTGGAGTCATTCACACAAGTCGCATCCTCCATGGAACCAGGGAGTGTCCAGTTTCTTTATAACAAAGTTCACCTCCTGTGATGCACCTGTTCCCAAGTGCATCCCTGGGCATACCTGTATGGTAGGCTTTGTTTCCTCTCTTGCAATCTGAGAATGTGTGGCTCATGACCTGCTGTCAATCTTACCTGTCCTATGCGCTGTGTTGTATGTTAGGATGTGCTCACTGCCTTACAGTGGGGTGACTGATAGGTGATAAAAGCAAAACTTCTCTGAAGAGCAGATCAGAGAAACACAGCCTATTAGTCATTCCAGGAACGGCCCAAAATTCAGTGGGAAACCATCAACATACACTCTGCAGGTGCCAGTGGCTCACACCTGTAAGTTACTCAGGAGGTTGAAATCTGTGGATACTGCAGTTCAAAGTCAGCTCAGGCTGAGACTCTATCTTCAGCTAATTACCAGAAGTGGAGCTGTGGTTCAAGTGGTAGAGCCACTAGCCTTGAGTGAAAAAGCTAAGAGACAGCACCCATGCCCTGAATTCAAGCCCCAAAACTGACAAAAATACATCATAGTTTATATATCTGATCCATTACATTTATGATAATATCTTGAAGCATTATTTCTTAACTTTTTTTTTTGGTGTCAATACTGGGGCTTAAACCCAGGGCCTCAGCATTGTCCCTTAGCTTTTTTGCTCAGTCTAGTGCTCTACCACTTGATCCACAGGTCCACTCTGTGTGTGTGTGTGTCTGTGTGTCTGTATGTGTCTATGTGTAGCTTGGAATGTGGCAGCTCCAGTTACAAATCCATCCCCTTGTTCAATTAATGTTTAGGAACTTGCTTAGGACAAGAGACATCATTTCTGCCTTTAGAGCTTTGGTCCTTCTTATTAGGCAGACATCACTCTCAAGAGCAAGTCAGAAAGGGGATCTGGGATGCTAATTAAAAAAATAAAATCAACAAAAGTCCGAACATGAAACACAGACCATGTCTACTTTTTACTGTGTGTGTGTATCTTAAACTCTGGGCTTCATGCCCTCATTTGGCTTTTTCACTCAAAGTTAGCACTCTACCACTTGAGCTGCAGCTTCACTTCCGGCTTCTTAGAGTGGGTTTACTAGAGGTAAGAGTCTCATGGACTTTCCCGCCAGGGCTGGCCTTGAACTGTGATCCTTAGATCTCAGCATCTTGATTAGCTACCAGTGCCTGGCTAGGCTTACAATTCTGTCCAGGCCTCAACTTCCTTTCATCCTTCCCGAGAGGAACTCATCCCAGGAGTCCTTTGAGCTCCTGTTCTCATTTCCATGTTGAAAGTCTGTTGATTATAGACAGCAAGATGGGACAAATGAGGAGAGCTCTGCTTTTACTGCAAAATTACATTAGTTTCTTCTGTGCTTGGTCAAACTGGGAACAGAAATTCTGGGATAGCTCCTCAGGAGACTGCTATACAACAGTCTATCCTATGAGCCCATGGTCTGAGAGTCTAGAAGTATGGTGGAAACAGAGAGAGACTTTAAGGCAGACAGTCTCTGATAGCAGTTGAATTCTGTTTTGTTTTTTAATATCTCCATCCCCAATGTCCTTCTCATCCCTAGCTACACAGGGGGTGATGGGACTGAGCCTGGGTGTGCCAGCCTATGCTTGAGGGTTTGCTTCTGGGCGTTAGAGCTTCCTGTCCCCTGCCCCCCCTGTGTCCCGCGGCCAACCCTTCCCCACAGACTGGCCTCCATCTTCAGCTCCTCATTCTCTCCCTTCCAAATCACCCACCACAACTTTACTCACTCCTCTATAGCATTACGAGGAGTGGTAAAGCACTAAGCACTACAGCCAAAATGACTGAGTTAATATGGCGGCTCCATTCCTGGCTGGCTGTGGATCCTTGAGTAAATTACTTAACTTCTCTGTGCTGCCATCGACAAGGAGAGCAAATATGATCTAGCCCTCCCTCTGGGGAAGGCATTGTTCCAAGTGCTTTTACACAGAGAAATTACTTTTTTGTGTGTGCCAGTACTGGGCATGAACTCAGGGCCGCAGCACTGTGCCTGAGCTATTTCTCTCAAGGATGGCGTTCTACCACTGGTGCCATACTTCCACTTCTGGCTTTTTGGTGGTTAACTGGAGATACAAGTTTCATAGGCTTTCCTGACTGGGCTGCTATCCTCAGATCTGAGCCTCCTGAGTTGCTAGGATTATAGGCATGAGCTACTGGCACCCAGCTGCAAGTGAGTCTTAAGGATAACTGATGCCCAGTATGCATTCAGGGTTAGACACTAATGGTTGGGTGGGTAGAACTTAAGCCAAAGTGCAACACTTGAAGGAAAAGACAAATCACAGGGCTTTTGGACATGCAGTGTGTCCTCTGTGGTGAGATCCGGGCTCACACTGAGGAATGAGTACATACAAACTGAAGCCAACTGAACTAGAAACAGAATGCTACCTTTGGTGTTAGGAAGATGTCAGACCAAAGTGCAACCCTTGAAGGAAAAGACAAATCACAGGGCTTTTGGACATGCAGTGTGTCCTCTGTGGCGAGATCCGGGCTCACACTGAGGAATGAGTACATACAAACTGAAGCCAACTGAACTAGAAACAGAATGCTACCTTTGGTGTTAGGAAGATGTCAGACCATCCTGGGCCCTGTAGAGCTTCCCCTGCTCTGAGCCCTGCCTTGACATTGCTAGATGGGACTCTGGACTTTCCTTGAAAAGAGGAGCAACAGAGGTATGACTCCCAGATCACCCAGCTGTGTGCTATATGCTGCTGGACGCAGGGAAGTTTCCACCCATTTGCAAAAGACCACCCTGGTAAGTAGTAGGCAATAAAAACTAGCAGTAAATTGAAGTTAGATTTCAGCAGGGCCCAAGCTGCGGCCTACTTCTCTTAGGAGTTCAGGGCTGCCAAGTTGTGTGTGTGTCTACCGTGGGTCTCTGTGTAGATACTTAAGAAGTATTCAAATGAGTCTAGCATTAATAAGTTAAGAGTACAGATCATTTCTGATCCTTTCAGACTCAGAGAACAATCTATAAACATAGTCCTGAATGGCTTTATAATTTCAAGTCGTAAGAATGCCCATCTTACTTTCCACCGTTTATGGCAAAGGGTCAGATAACTGTAAGAGCATTAAGCAGAACAGTGCACTCCTGCGTACCAAATGACTCTGCTCTGTCTCCCCTTCCTGGCCAGGGGACACAGCACATTTAGTAGTTTTCCATCAGGGCCCATCACTCCAATTTTATTCCTTCAAAGCAGAACACAAGCTCCCTCTGGAGAGCCACTGAACTTCCCTCCTTTCTCTAGATGTCCTCAGTTGAGGCCCCAAGAAGCCATGCTGAAGACAGGGGTCATGTCTGCCCCATGACTATCCTCCTCGTGGTCTCTGCTACAATCAAGGCATAGGGGACCTTGGCCTTCTCTGGGATGAGAAGGAGCCTCTTCTAGCCACTGTCACAAGGCGTATAGACACCTCTGTCAGCCTGGTGCACCCGGGCTTCAGGAGGTGGGCTGAAACACAAAGATGAGACCTGAAGGGGTAGACTATGGTATAATTGGAAGGTATCTGCCTAGGCACAGTGATTGTTCTGAGGGGCAGATCTGTGTGCACACGACATCATTTGCAGAAAGATGGACTGGAGTAGAGGAAAGCAAGGAATGGATGCACCCAGGACCCTCAGGAGAGCAGAGTGCTAAGGTAGAGAGAAGCTGCCCACAAGGCAAGCCATGTTGCTGCTCAGGCAGGTGTGGCTAAGGGAAGGGAACCACAGACCCCCATTGTCTTTATGTGTGAACCCAGGGCAAGCTATTACCCTCCTCATCACATGAACTGGCCACCTATGCCTTGTGTGCAGAGGTGAGGAATGGCTGCAGTGGATGGAAGGACAGATGAGAGAGAACGTTTATCCACCCCATGCAATGCTGCTGGTGGGGCTGACATTCAGGATCAGGTTCCGTAGGAATCAATGATGGTGTGGGAGGACATGGGAGAGGGGCCTTCAAGGACATGTCCTGTACTAGAGTGGCACAGATCTATGAGTTGGTCATACCATCCTGAGCCCAGGGTTACCAGGGAGAACCGAAAGGAAAGGGAGGTAGGGAAGAAGGAAGACAGAAGAGAGAAGGAAAGAGACACATCTACCTATTGGGACGGACATCTGTCAACATCTGTCACCACCTCCCTAGCCTGGACTGCAGAGCTGGTCCTCACCTCCTGGCCTGCCCAATCCCTGATCACCCCTAAGGCCTTCCAAGAGGTTAGTTCAACAGTGTCTTCCCAAAACATTTTAACTCTCAGGAAATTATCTGTGCTGCTATACCCTCATGACGAATAGTGCCGCAACCTGCGTGCAATCTCAGCCACGTCTCTGAGAGCTCCAGTCTGAGCTCTCTGTTGCCCATTCCTCCCTCAGGTCTCAGCTGTCCCCTGAGCTCAGCTCACGGTGCTGTGGCTCTGGGTGATCTCTGGGCTCTGGTTTCATGTCTGTACTCTACAAGCCTTGGCTTGCAGAGATCCTGATGCCCTGGCTGTCCCAGTGTAATACATGCCTGCTCCTGCCCTTTGTCTGCCCTAGGACCTTGGGCTTTGCCTAGTTTGGGCTTTCAGTACTCCGACACCAAGGAGGATCTGAATTCCCTTTTCACACATACCTCCCCAAACCTGTCCCACCTCCAACCGGAGACCTGAATGATTCTCCACACACAAAAAAAAGAAAAAGTGAGCTGGCAGGTTCTCTAGAGCAGAAACTCACCGGTAAATGGCCGAGGAGAGGTGTGATACTATCAGAAACATAGATGATGCTGCCGTCCGTGGTCACTGCGATAATGAAGCCGTCTAATGCCTGTGGAAGATGCAACAGTTGAAATCTCCTTAATGGTGCCTTCCCGGAGCAAATGGCATTGAAGCAAAGGACCCATCTGATGACCTAGCTCTGTTCAATAATCTTTACAATATTTCCATGAATAGCCCCACAAAACTCTTCTGCCACATGTACAGGATGTTTTGTTATGCTTGCAAAAGCAGGATAGGCTGAGGGACAGAGCTGACCCACTGGTCTCACAGAACCTACTCATACTCGCCACATTACTTGACTGAGTCAGAAAGATCACTGTCATCATTAAGAGGCATCAGTAGTATGGTCGGGTCCCCATCCCTGTAGCCCAGATAACATGTAACAGTCCTGAATTCCACAGTAACATTTTCTGCAAAATGTAAGAGCAAATGAATGCCTTACAGACAATATGTCTGTTAGCCAAGGGAGACTTCTTGCTTGCATTTGCTGCCACAAAAGAAACTGCTATTGAAAGAATCATTAATAAAGGACATTCACAGCCAGGCCCTGGTGGCTCATGCCAGTAATTCTAGCTACTCAGGAGTCTGAGATCTGAGGGTTTTGGTTTGAAGCCAGCCCAGGAAGTAAAGGTTATAAGACTCTTATCTCCAATAAACTACTCAGAAAAAGTTGGAATGGTACTATGGCTTAAGTGGTAGAATGCTAGTCTTGAGCACAAAGAGTCTCAAGGCTCAGCTCATGGACAGCATCCAGGATCAGGAAAAAAAAAAGAACATTCACAGCTGGGCATGGTGGTTCATGCCTGTAATCCTAGCTACGTGGTAAGTATAAATAGGGGGATCACAATCCAGATCATCCTGGACCAAAAAATGATCCTAAAAGAAAAATAAGAAGAGCAAAAAAGGGCTGTGTAATTTAAGTGGCAGAACACTTAGTATGAAGCCCTGAGTTCAAACCCCAGTACTATCAAAATACTAAAAAGTCTGGGTAGGGGATAGATGTTTTATAACACAACTAGACATACAAACATTTCTGGAATTGTGAAAAAACATATTTACACACCTTAGATATCTAAGACATCTTTAGACTATATACTAAGCACATGGCCCTGAATACTCAAAAACTACAAGAACGATGTGAACACTGATTTCTCACCAGGCACACACTTTCAATGTTTTAAGTATTTGCTGAGACTTCATGAAATGTGTGTATGTATATGAATGCTAGTACTGGAGCTTGAACTCAGGACCCTGGGCTTGCTTGGCTTGTTCCCTTATGGCTGGTACTCTGCCACCTGAGCCATACCTTGCTGGTTATTTCTGAGGTAGAGCCTTGCAGACTTTTCTTCCCAGGCCAGCCTTGAACCCTGATCCTCTAAGTCTCAGTCTCTAGTAGTTGGGATTACAGGCATGAGTCACTGGTAAGAACTGTGACAATGTATTTTCATATGGATGCTCACAATGCTTTTAGAAAGACACATCTCAAGAGCTGATTTCTAAAATGCAAACTGTGTGATTCATCAGAGAACAGGTCTCACTAGCAACTGGCTGTCTGCAGAGCTCCAGTGAGATGGAAGAGATTAAAAACACAGCTTAACCTCTCCAGAAAGCAGATCTTTGCGGGAAGAATGCATGTGGTCAGGTGACATCCACTGTGCTCCTGGCACTGTCAGGTCACTGTTTCAAAACAGTTGCATCTCCTAATCTGAGAAAAAAGAATGAACTATGTGCTTAGCAAGCTCTGGCAACATTTCACATGTCTTCAACTAAATCCTGCCAGGGTGCAGCTGAGAATCTGCCTGGGCAAAAGAGCATTGATTCTTTGAAGTCTGGAGGGTGTAAGGCCGTCAGAGCCAGAACAGTCCTCTTACTGTACTGACGGAAGGAAGGACAGCTTTACTGAATACCGACATGTGAGGGGGAGCTTCTCTGCAGGAAAACTGACAGTAGGCTCATGTATTATTTTATATTGGCTTAGATTTAAGACCGAAAAAAACACATTTGCGGGCATGCCTATACTGGGGCTTGAACTCTAGCTTCATGCTCTTATTTCTGCTCACAGCTGGTGCCTAGCTTACAAACATTATTTTTCCCCTGATGGTACTACGATTTATACTCAGGACCTCATTCTTGCTTGGCAGGTGCTCTATCACTTTATCCACACCTCTTCTTTTTGCTTTACTTTTCAGATGGTCTTTCTTTTATGAGAGGGCTGGCCTTGCCTTGAACCATGATCTTCTCAATATTTCATTCCAAGCACTTATGTCACTATACCTAGTCTAAAGCACCTCCCTTCCCCCTTCCCTCCCTTTCTTCCTATGGCTTTGTGCTTTGAATATTAGAGCTCTTACCATGGAGCCATGCCACCAGCTCTAATTTTTACTGCTTATTTTCCAGATGGGGGTCTTGCTTCCTTCCTGGGAGTCTGCCTAGGCAACATCCACCCATGATAAACTTCTAAGTAGCTAGAAAACCAGTACCATATCTAGTTCTACACTGAGAAGGGGTCTTGAGGCCTATTTTTCTGCCTGGGATAGCCTTGATACTTGATACCAACAACTTGAACCTCCCAAGTAGCTAAGATTTCAGGTATGAGCCACCAGCACCTGGCATAAAGCACATTTCTTAGATGAACGTCATCAACTGGGCAATGTGTGCAGACAGTTTTGGTTCTCATTAATGGATGGGTGGTGCTGTCACCTAGTGGGAGGGGCCAGAGATGCTACAAAACATCCCACACTGTACAGAAGAGCTCCAAGTGTCAGTCCTGCCAAGGTTGAGGAACTCTGAATTAGATTTATGGGCTATGATGACCAAGAAAGTCTATTCTAGTAACTTTCACTTCCTTTTTTTCTCCCTTGTTCTTTTTTTCTGAATGTATTTTTTATAAATTTATTTTTAATAGCTGCACAAAAGCAAAAAATTAGACATATTTATGGGGTACTCATAATGTTTTATTTTTTATGTGTGCTAGTACCAGGCCTTGAATTCAGGGTCTCTTGCTCTTGCTCAGCTCAAAACTGAAGCTCTTCAACTTCAGCTACACTTCCACTTGCAGCTTTTTGCTAGTTAATTAGAAATAAGCATCTAGAGGATTAGTCTACCCAAGACTGGCTTTGAACTTTGATTTTCAGATTTGGCTTCTGAGTAGTTAGGATTACAGGTGTGAGCCTCTAGCATCCAGCCTCTGACATTTTGATACATGTATATATTGTGTAATATGTTTAAATCGAGTTAAACTTCTGTCCCTGCAAACATTCAGCATTTCTTTATGGAGGAAGCATGAAAAATCCTTTCTTCTAGCTTTTTGAAATGCGCAAAACATTATCATTATCTATAGTCACCCTCGTGTACTGGAGCACACTGGGTCTCCCTGCCCTACTGTACCCTAGCACCCACCCATTGGCCTTCTTAGATCCTCTGCCCTCCTTTCATTCCCTGGCTTCCAGAAACCACTATTCTATTCCCCACTATTTGCAACTTTTCCTGAAGTGAATGTTTGTAAGGTGTGGAGGTGCTCTTAAGGACGTTGGCTGGAGCTTTCTGGAAAAAGGCAGATTAGAAAGCTGGACAAAGTAGGAGTTGAATCATCAGTCTTTCTGCACAGTGAGCCCATGTCCTTCTTCAATTTGTCAGGCAAGTAGATATTTAAAAAGCTGAAGTATTTATAGAGGGAAGATCACATTCATTAGCTCAATGACATTTCCCATCACATATAAGAACCGAAGTGAGTCACTGTGTTAAGCATGCTTGTCTCTTGCCATAGCTTCAAACATCCCCCCTCCCTCCCCGCCCCCAACAGCACCCGAGAGAAAGTCAACAGCACATGACTGCACAGCCATGTAGGTAAAGTTGATTCTGACGGGTTCTAGAATTTTATACTTGCCACTAGCCAAAGAAAACTAAAACCTTCCCTTTCCACAATTCCCAATTTATGTCGGGCATTTCTTGATGGTTTTTTTTTGGAGGGGGGGAATAGCCTCTGGGCCAGGAGAAAGGATTGCTGTAGCATTTCTAGATAAAAATGCAGAGATAGTATGGCCTTGCCAGTTCCCAGTCAACAAGAGCTTTCCCTCCGTTCAAGTCACTCCTCTCCTTTTTGAGTCTTGTGACTACAGTCTCCACTCTTCTGATCTGCAACAGTCATCCTGTTTCTTTACACTGATGTCTGATTTTGTGCGATCTCAGAGAAAAAGGGGGAAAGGCAGGTTCATGCCTGGGGACATGGTTCCCTGGAAGTGTGAGTTCCATCTCCATTGGACAAAGAGAAACTCCTGGTTATAAGGACTGGTGTCTGGATCCCTACGTTCTCATGAGGTCCTCAGGAAATGCATCTAGAAAGAGGAGAGGCACCCTGGTGCCAGTGGCTCACGCCTATAACCCTTGCTACTCAGGGAGCTGAGATCTGAGAATCATGGTTCAAAGGGAGCCTGGGCAGAAGTCAGTGAGACTCTTATCTCCAATTAACCACTAAAAGTTGGAAGCTGTGGTTCAAGTGGTAGAATACCAGACTCGAAGGTAAAAGTTCAGGGATAGCACAGAGGTTTTGAGTCGAAGACCTAGTGTCAGCACACATGCATGTATGCACACATGTGCACACACGCACACACACACACACACACATACACGTACACACACACACACGCGCACACACACACACACACACACAAGGTCATGTGCATCTAGAATGGGACCTGCATTGTAGAGAAGCTACACTGTGGAAACTGATGACATTATTCTTATAGAGACCCCATATGTGTGGAGGGGCAGCTCAAGCCATCAGGGAGGAGAAGCCAGAAGGTTCTGGTCACTGAACACCAGGTCTTTGTCAACTGAAGAGCAACAGGTTAGAACAGAAGCATAAGCAGATCTAAGTCAACTATTAGCTGGTAGTTTAACAACTTGGAGCTGAAATTCAGAGACAAGGCCTATTGGTCAGATAGGCTTTAATTCTGGCCTAATTCACTCATTGAGTGACACTTCCTCTCTAGTTACTTCAAGGACTCTATACAGGTGCATTAAGATTTTCCTTAATCAAAAGTCTCTTTATAGAAGTTCCAGTCTCCTAAATTTCAGTCCCATTTTCCAGGCGATAAATTGATCAGTTTTTAACTTCATAAAAGCCTTGTTCCTCAGATTCATTTGATACTTTAACACTCACAAGAAACAACAAAAAGATTCTGCTTATAGGCTTATTAAAAGCTGCCTACTGCTAAGTGCCAGCGGCTCAAAGTTATAATCCCAGCTACTCAGGAGGCTGAAAACAGGAACAACAATTGTTCTAGGTTAGTTCAGGCAGGAAAGTCTATGTGACGTCATCTCCTTGGAAGATGATGGATATGGTGGCACAAGCCTGTCATCTCAGCTATGATGGGATGTTAAATAGATGGCTCAAGGTTCAGGCATCTGTCTGTGCAGGAAGAACCTATCATAAAAACAATTAGCATAGAAAGCTGGAAAATATGTATTTAGGCTGAAAATAGCATGGGCAATTTATGACCATAACTCTTGCTCCTAATGAAATGAAAATGCTTTTAGATATGCATTAAATTATGTCACTGCTCTTAAAAAAATAACCAACACAAAAACTGGCTGGAGATATGGGTCAGTGCTAGAGTACTTGCTTATCAAGCACAAAGCTCTGAGTTCAAAAACCAGTAAAACACACACACGCACACACACAAGTATTTTATACAACATGATTATATGTTTTAACTACCTTTCCACACGAATTAAAAGATAAATCCATGTATATAAGGTAGCATAATGATGCATTAATTTAACATTATATTTCACAAGCTGCTTTAAATTTAACATACTTAAAATGCATTGCTTCTGCAGAAAGTTCTCTATTTTCTTTAAATATAGTTCCTATGTAGAGCTAAGTATCTCTCATTTTATGCAAATGTTCATTAATGCATTTATATTTCATAATATTTAGACATCTTTATTCTGGCATTTTCTTATTCCAGTACTTTCTGTTTTCTGCATGTTAATCTATGTAAATTAAAGTTTATACCAGCCTTATATAGACACATGGGTAAGCTATAGAAAGATTTATCCTAAGAAGCCACTCTCTGGAAACCCTATCCAGAGTTGCTCATTGTATGAACTGTGATGAACTTTATTTTACTAATCTCACCTCTCCAGGCTCTCTTAGGTCAAGGGCCTGGACTTGCTATGGATCAGGCTTCTCTTCCCACAGGGTCATATCCAAAGGCCTCTGTTCTTTCCCCTTGGAAGTAAGAGTACTCTGCCAGATGCTTTACAGAGACTGGTCCTCACCTGTACCAAGGGCTTTTAGCCACATGTAAATATAAGGATACTGGAGGAGGTTTTCACAAATCCAGCCCTATGAACCTGGCACTTGAACCAGAGGATAAAACCTGGGTATCTTGGCATGGCAAAGGCAGACACCGATCACTGTGATTGATACTCACAGGCCATGTTGAAATAATAGGAGCTGAAGTTAAAAGCATAACTTTCAGAAAAGACTTGTTTTGTTTCTACTCAGCTCCTGAACCAGGTGTCCTGTAGTAAGAAGGGGAGCTAACACAACCACATTTCACTCGAGATTTTTGCTTTTATGGTACCCTAACTCCATATGTATAAACAAGAGCAGGCAAAACCTCAGGCCAATATCTAGTTCAAGACCTCCTTCCCAGGTCCAGAACAGCTCTTCCTCTGGGCACAAGGTCTAATGAGGAGTACTTTGTAAATTAATAATGTGAAAGTACATTTCACCTCCAACATCAGCTGGGTGAATTCTTCATTACTGAGGAATGAAGGCTTCCAATCTTGCTGAATGTCGCAGATTTCCGTTTGTGCTGAGACTTCTACAGAAAAAGAAAAACATACAAACTTATGTTCAAAGGCAACTAGGACTTGGAACTTACCAATGAAGCGCATATTACTTCTGTTACTTTTGTGTAAACTTCAATGCAATAATTAAACTAATACAAGGAAATATATTATCCTGATGTCTGAAGACTGGGAACTTTGGTTACAATGGGCTTAAATATACTTTTTGTTATTTTCATTTGTGTTTGTGCATGTGTGCATGTATGTATGTGTGTGTGCGTGCGCACGTGTACGCATGCACGTGCACACGCATGTATGGTATGCGGGCATGTTGGTACTGAGGCTTGAACTCAGGGCCTTCAATTCTTTGCTTAGCTTCTTCACTCAAGGCTGGCACTTTACCACTTATGCCATGCTTCCACTTTTGGCTCTTTGTGATTAATTGTGGTAAGAGTTTCACAGACTTTTCTGACCAAGCATGATCCTCAGAGCTGAGTCTCCTGAGTAGCTGGGATTATATGCGTTAGCCACTGGCACATAGCTAAAAACATTTTAAAAAGTATTTTTACACCCCTTTAATGAAGGAAGATAGAATAATCTCAGCCTGGGCATAACACCTGCCACCGATAGAGGCATAATGCCTCTCAGCAGCAGCAACTGGCATCAAATAGGTGCTACCTATCAAAGCAACAGGAATGAAGACTGGGACGGTGACTTCTTCATGGTTAAGGCAAAAATACTTCAGAGATCTGGGTTTTCAGAAGTCCTAAAGGGTGAAAGTCAGTGGTCCAGTGGATGCTCCAGTCACGGTCCCCCGCCCCTACAACTTCATGCCCAAAATTCCAGAATCATCATAGGCTTATACTAAATAACCTGTTTATTAGAAAAGAATGACTTTTTCTATCATTTCCATTACTGAACAATAATGCACTATACAAAATACTCATTACTTGAGGTTTTGTTTGAGATTTTTTTGCTTCTTTCTGAGGTGTTGGGGATAGAACCTAGGGCCTCACACATGCTGGACAAGTGCCCTATCATTAATCTACAACCACAGCCCAAAGGTTCTGTTGAAGACCCGGCCTTACTGTTCTCAAGACATATTTCTTGTTGTTAATCTATAGTCTACCATTTCACATAACTATCTTACACTGAGACATTATTCACATTGATTAATTCAATAACCACTGGGTTGGACAGGACTCAAATATTATATAACTTTCATTTTTCAAATATGGCTTATTCCACCCTTTTTAAAAATGTTGGTACTTGGTCTTGAACTCAGGGTCTGAGAGCTGTCTCTAGGCTTTTATACTCAAGTCTGGCACTTCACTACTTGAGCCACAGCTCCACTTCTGGCTTTTTGCTGGTTAACTGAAGACAAGAATATCCATAGACTTTTCTGCCTTGATTGAGTTTGAACCTTGATCCTCAGATCTCAACCTACAGAGAAGCTATGAGTATAGGTATAAGCTACCAGCACCTGGCTTGGTTTAATTTACTTTATCTCTCATAAAATTATTACAGTGTGTGCAAATGTGATATTTGTAATTATTTGTATGGCCTCCATATTAAGCCAACATTTTTATCTACATTATATGGAAAAACCACTTTCTAGGGCTGGGAAGGTGGCACAGTGGTAAAGCGCTTGCCTTGCATGCATGAGGCCCTGGGTTCGATTCCTCAGCACCACATAAGCAGAAAAAAAAAGCCGGAAGTGGTGCTGTGGCTCAAGTGGTAGAGTGCTAGCCTTGAGCTGAAGAGCTGAGGGACAGCACCCAGTCTCAGAGTTCAGACCCCATGACCGGACCCCAAAAAAATACTTTCTAGGTATTAGTTTCTTAATACTGACAAAACAGTAAGAAAATTCGACTTATAATTGTTTTAACAGATTAAAATAAAACTAACCTATTAAGTTTCTGGAGAAAGCAAATTGTTCAGGTAGATACACTATCCAATGTAACACTTATTTGAAGTGTTTAGCATTGAATCCAAGTCTCTATGAGTGCTAAACATGTGCTCTGCCACTAAGCTATAACCACAGTGTCTACACCCCTAGGTTTGAGAATTGCCTTTATGGGGTGCATAAAAATGAACTCTGCTATCTCAATGAATGATCTGAAAGAAGTCAGCAGTTGCTTGTGAAGAAAGATGGTGGTGTGTAGGGCTGAGAGACTCTAAACCTCATTCTATCTTCTACCAATGTTCTAGTCAATGCCAGGCTCTTCTGATAAGTTTCTTCCTTCTAGATGTCTAAAAGAACAAATTCCTGCTGCTGTTAACACAAAATTGGACCTCTAGTCCTATGTGATTTTTAAGGACTACAAAAGAGGTGCTACAAACTTGTCAGGCAGGCAATCCAGTGAGAACCAGTGTGTTGGGCTTACTGCTGGGTGCCATGATACATGTGGCAAAATGCATGCTGGGAAGCAGGACATGGCACTACAAATCTTGGTCCCAGTTTATCTTGGGGTAAGGGAGTCAGGCTACATAAATAATTACCACAGTTTGACCACTTAGAAAAGGGATGGACCCATAAATACTTTCTTCCTTCTCCCTAACACAGTCATGTTAAAAGTTCATCTGAGCAGTAGGAATAGACTGGATTGTTTGGGAAAGGAGTCTTTCTGGCAGCCTTTCAAATTTCATTTAGGTAGAGGTCCATTCAACTTAATGATGAAGGGAAAATGAAAGATCAAAAATGCCTTGATATAAGTAACCTTCAAATCATTTCTATGACCAACTACTTCTCAACACCAGCACGACATTACTGAAAACTGCCATTTCATTCACTTTGTGTTTCAACAATTTGATTTCAGTCCTTGAAAGGCTCAATTCATAGAACATAAAAAGTACATAAATGAGATAAGCTATCTCAAAGGAAGTAAATTCTGTCATACTGGGAAATAAAATTCAGGGTTTCAATCACATCTCCACTGATGGTTGTCATTACAGATAAGCCACAGGTGAGGGGGCACAGGTGAGGGGGGGAGACTAAGCAATGAGATGTGATCACAGTGTTTTTCTAAACATCAAGGGCAACCAAACTAACTGAGAACCATAAGAAAACACTGCAATTAACAGCCAGTACCCCCTTCCCTGTTCTGCTGTTGTGTAACTTCTAGTAACAGATTGCTCACCAACTGATTGCTTCTTGTGTGCCTGAACAGAACATATTTGGGCTGTATATGGTCACAGAAAAGCCTGGAAAATGCAAAAGAAACACAACAGCTGGTTACCCAGTCCAAAATTGAAAGCAGCCATGGTAAGAGTATATCTCCTTGTTCTGTGACCTTCTCCACCCCATCTCTCTCTCATCTATGAAGGCAGACACACTGAAGAGGCAAGCAGAACAACAGAACTTGATGTGGATTAATATTTCTCTTAGCTTGATACTCAACACAGGAAGAGGACAAGGTTTGGTTAGCCTTGTCTGGTAGAACTAGCATTCCGATGGACATAGACAAAGATGTTCCATATTCTATCTATCTAGGTAGTGGTCTCTTATAAAAGATTGGGTTGATATGATATCTCACTATGAAAAAAATATGGTCAGGTTCTTATTTTAATTTGGATTACTTAAAAGAGAATAAAGATACATTCTAGGATCAAGATTTGGCTCACGATCTGAGAAAATAGGAAAGCTTGGAAAAATGAAGAAAGAACGAAATAATTCAAACACAAATGTGGACCTAGTTGATGTTACTTATCCTGTGGTCTAACTTTAGCTTGAAGGTAGGAAGCATGTCTGAATCTGAACTCCTCAACCCTAGCTGCACATTAGAATGACTTGGGGAACATTAAAAATACTGATGTAGCTGGGCACTGGTGGCTCACACTTGTAATCCTAGCTCAGGAGTCTGAGGTATGAGGGTCACATTTCAAAGCCAGCCCAGGCAAGAAAGCCCATGAAATTTTTATCTTCAATTCACCAGAAAAAAGTTGGAAGTGGAGCTGGGGCTCAAGTGGTAGAGCATTAGCCTTAAACAAAAAAGGGACAATGTCGAGGCCTTGAGTTCAAGCCTCAGTAATGGCATAGAAAAAAGGAAAAAAAGAAAAGAAAAGAAAAGGAAGGGAGGAAGGAAGGAAGGAAGGAAGGAAGGAAGGAAGGAAGGAAGGAAGGAAGGAAGGAAGGAAGGAAGGAAGGAAGGAAGGAAGGAAGAAGCCAGGTGCTGGTGGCTCATACCAGCTACTCAGGAAGCTGAAATCCGAGGATCCTGGCTTAAGGCCAGCCTGGACACAAAAGTCTGTGAATCTCTTATTTCCAATTAATCAGCAAAATGACAAAAGTGGAAATGTGGCTCAAGTAGTAAAGTGTCAGCCTTGAACAAAAAAGCCAAGCAAGCGCATAATGCCCTGAGTTCAAGCCCCAGATCTATCACAGAAAAATGCTCAGGCCTGGTAAAAGCTTTACCCCCAACAAGTGTCCTGGATCTGAAATGTTTGCCCATTTCTGTGGAAATACTCTTCCATGCCGTTTCAACGTATTAACTTGATGTCAACTGGCTTGCAAAACTCCAAAAAATTTAGCAATCTTATCTTAAACTGGCACAAGCTAACTCCAGTACATTGCTCCAAAGAGTCTGCTGCATTGGTACCAGTTTGTATGTATGTATGTATGTATATATGTATGTATTTTGCTGGTACTAGGGCTTGAACTTAGGGCCTGGATGCTATCCTATGGCTTTTTAGCTGAAGCTGATCCTCTACCACTGGATCCACAGTTTCACCTGTGGATTTTTGCTGGTTAATTGGAGATATGAATCTTATAGACAGTCCTGCCTGGGCTGGCTTTGAACCTCCATCCTCAGATCTCAGCCTCCTGAGTATCTGGGATTAGCCATCAGTGTTAGGCTAAATCTATTTTTTTTAACTCCTTGGTTGATTCTGATGGCAGCCAATTCGGAAAAGAAATAAATCCACTAATGTATGGCTAAACACAGCTATGATACGAACATTTGTACGAGTCCCATACATCTTAGATGGGGGGTGTGAAAACAGGCCTCTGTAGCCAGGCTGCTGGGTTTAGACATCATATCTTCCTGAGTGACATGTGTCTCAGTTGCTTCATCTGTCCCCTGGGACTAGATTAAAATGCTGCCATGATGTTTAGAGCCCTCGCACTGTACATGGCTCACAGGTACCATGAATAAATGCTGGGCCTCACTTTCCTTCGCCATGCTCATTTGCCAGTGGGAATCACACCTTATGGGGAGGACACCAATTGTAGCTGTATTGGTTTTTCTACTTTAAGCCAAATTTTTGTTCAATCAATCATTTCTACATGAAACCTAGCATGGATTTTCCACTGCGGTCTGAGTTGGGCATCCAGACATGAACGAGGTCCTGAAGTGACCCCAACGGTGTTTAAGTAGGTTGTTCAGTGCTGGCCTTCATATTCTAAAAAAAAAGTGAGACTACCTAGGCTACCTGGGTTCAGGAGGCTACATTTCTGCTGACCTGTCTTTTCTGGGGTCCAGATTTGACAATCCTGTCATTCCACAGAGGACAGACCCCAGCATAAATGTCACACGGATGAACTTGATCCCAGCTGTCCTGTTTCTCTGTGGCACTGACCTAGTTTGAGTAATTGGCACAAAATATCTTGGCAATCAAAGTGACCTGCTATTTCACTTGGTTAAATCATTATTTAGGAAACAGAATCATTCTGATTAAATTATCAGAGCACCTGAATATTGCTGCAACACTTAATTCTAAATCCCACTTGTCTGGTCTCCCCTGACTTTTAATAAAAGTAATTAACATGTTCCTTGGGTAGTTTTGAAAGAAAACAAAAGGAGGATCTATTATTGCTGTCATATTATTATTAATAGGTACATACAATTATCAAAGAAATAATAAAAGAATGACATAAATAATGCAACTTTCCCATGTCCCAGCAGTGTCCTCTTCCTGAGTAGACATGAAATCATCTTGTCTAAGACAATGTTCTGGAGGAGGGGGTGGCACACCAAACATAATTATGAGCACACAGGAAAGGAGAAACTGTAATTACTTCCTTAATGGATCTGACATTTCTGACTTTATTATGTTTTCTGTCAAGGTTAGGGCAAAAAGAATTCTGTTCTTCCTGCTTGTGAATTGCTCCTGAACCCTCTTCACTGTTGTGACTTATTATTTGGTCCACTCAAGGGAAATGGCAAGGCAGGGTTGCTCAGAACTTAAGAGCCAAAGGGTTTGGGAGAGAACAAGTTTAAGGATGGCTCCCAGTGGTAAATAAAAGGGAATGGAATCTGCATATAGAAATGAACTAGCCAGGCATTGGAAGAACATGATTGAGTCATAATTCTAAGATTTCAAGAGGTAAAACCAATCTCCGGTAGTGGGAGTCAGGACAGTTAAGTTCAGGCAAAGTAGAAGTAGACAGGAAGAGGCAGCTATTGGGGAAGCTTTGTATGTTTATGCATGTGCATGTGTGTGTGCACATGCATGTGTGTGGTATGCCAGTACTGAGGCTTCTTCAACTCAGGGTCTAAGTGCCACTCCTTAGTTATTTTCTCAAGGCTAGGCTCTATTACTTGAGCCATACCTCCAATTCGAGCTTTTGCTGGCTAATTAGAGATAAAAGTCTCATGGACATTCCTGCCAAGGCTGACTTTGCATGTTGATTCTGAGGACTGTAAACATGAGCTGTCAGTGTCTTGGGTTTTAACACTGGCCTGTTCCAGGGATTTCTCATGAAGATTGCAACCATGGTGAATGGTACCTGCTTGGGCTGAGGATCACTGTAGGCTGCTCTGAACTCTCTCTTTAGGCTGATAAAGAATCTGATGCTGGGCACTGGTGGCTCACACCTGTAATCCTAGCTACTGAGGAAGCTGTGATCTTAGGACTGTAGTTCAAAGTCAGCCTGAGCAAGAAAGTCCATGAGATTCTTAACTACAATTAACTACCCAAAAGCCAAAAGTAGAGCTGTGGCTCAAGTATTAGCACACTAGCTTTGAATGAAAATGCTAAGGAATGGCATCCAGTCCCCAAGATCAAACCCCAGCATTGGCATACACACAACAAAGAACATAGAATATAAATCCTCTCCTCAACTTGCTGGACCTGGGACTATTGTGGAGGTCTTTGACTGGGAAGCTTGTGACCGAAGGGAGGATCTCTCTCTAGGGAGAGGCTCAGCTGGAAGAGCTGCCTGATGAGGTCAGCACCCCTTGGAAAGGTGTAGGTCAAGGTAGAATAAAACCAGACAGAAGCTCAACATTTACCATTGTGTTTCTGCAAAAACCCAATGACCTTCTCCAGCACAGTGGTTTTGTCCATTTTCCGCGTATTGCCAGGGAGCATGGAGCTGAGCTCTTTGATAAGAACATTGAACTGGTCTCGACGCTTCTTCTCAGACTTGTTTCGAGACGCTCTGCAAACATATAACACAATAGTTACTAGAACATTCCAAAGCTCTGTTATGAAACAGAGGTTGTTTTTTTTCCTTCCTTCCTTCCTTCCTTTCCTTTCCTTCCTCCCTCCCTCCTTTTTGTGCTGGTAGTATTGTATAAACTCAGGGCCTGTGTGCTGTCCTTTAGATTTTTCACTCAAGGCTAAGAATCTACCACTTGAGCCACAGCTCTTTTTTTTTTTTTTGTGAACTGGAGATAAAGGTTTCATGAACTCTCCTGAACATGCTGGCTCTGAACTGTGATCCTTAGATCTCAGTATCCTTAGTAGCTAGGATTAAAGTTGTGAGTCACTTGTGCCCAGCTTCAGAAGTACTCTGTATCCAAGTCTGTTTAACTGAGATTGTCTTATTAAAAAACTTGCTCAGGATAAAAACAGTAGCCACATTTCAGAGCTGAGAAAGATGTTTTGCTGGGCTTTTTTTCTTTGGCCACCAAGAAAAACAGCATTAGGAATACATTCTGACTCACATGCAAAAGCTTACACAGCTTAGCTCCTCTAAGACCTGTCATTCTAATTTCATAGAGCTTTAAGGTTCAGAGAGCAAGCGATGCTGTTTACCTGGATGGCTTCTGCCCAGAGAGACACACTCCAGGAATCCTTCTTCAGGTTCCAACCATGTTCTCTCTCCTCCAGAGACCTAAGTCTTGAGATGCCAAGTCACAGGGATGGTCTGGCATCCTGAGTGTGTCACCTGGGCATATGCCTGGCCTTTGCCCCTAAGATCTCTTTCCTGTTGGGGAGACAGTCTGTGGGCCATGAGGACCCAGTGCACAGGTACTGTGTGTGGCTCTCAATATGCCAGAACAGTAGAACATGTTTTAAGATGAAATGGAGGAACTCAAATGCATATTAAATCAAAGGAGCCAGTCTGGAAGTTACATACTATATGACTGTAACTATCTGCCACTCTGGTAAAGGTAAGACTACAAAGATAGGAAATGACTAGCTATCACCCTGGGAAGGGATAAACAGGCAGAACACAGAGGGCTATGAGAGCAATGACACTGTCTGTAGGATACTACAGAGGGAGGGGTATGCTATTATATGTTTGTCAAACCCACAGAACATACAGCACTAAGAGCAAGTCTTAATTCATACTATGGCCTTTGATGACTCTGACATGTCAATGAACTTCATCAACTCTACACAGAGTGCCAACTCAAGCAGGGCATATTGGCAGTGGGAGGAAGCTGTGTGTATGTCGGGGGGGGGAGGCTCTCAATTTTGCTGTGAACCTCAAAATCCTCTATAACATGAAGTCTATTTAAGAAATCCCATCCTATACTCTGTGCCTATAGAAAAGATGAATGCAAAGCTGTCAGTGACGGGGAGAAAACGTTTCCTAAGCTACCAAGTCACATAAGAGGTATTCTAGGCTTCTTAGGAATTAGAATAAGAGATGAGGAGATTTGGGGGGAAGGTGGGGTTAGGGCTGCTCTGACAACCAAAAGAAACACCTGACCAGGCCAGGCATATAGCTTATTTGCAGAGTGTTTGCCTAGGGTGTACATGTTTCTAGGTCTGTAAAATAGAGACAGAGACAGAGAGAGATAAAAGATAGACATGCAGACAAGAGAGAGAGACACACACACACAGGAGAGAGACAGAGAGAGAGAGAGACAGAGAAAGACAGACACACACACAAATACACACAGAGTCATGATGGAGTCTTCAACCTCTCCTGGATAACATACCAAAGTCTCTTTGTCAACAGTCAGCTTATCCCTAGGTGGTATGTATACAGCTGGGGAAAATAGCCTACTCCTTCCTAAAGCATCTAAGATAGGCTTGTCCCAGAAAGTCAGCTCATTGAGAGGAGACAAGGGGTGACACTGTTCAAAAAGAAATGTACTCTCATTACCTGACTTATGTAACTGTAACTCCTCTGTACATCACCTTTATAACAACAATAAAAAATAAAAAGTAGGAGAAAAACGAAGGGGATAAGGGTTCGATAGCACCGTCATCTCCTGTGCTCTATCTTTTGGTCCAGGGCCTGGGGTCAAGGTTCGGAGGGGAGCCAGTCCCTCATCAGGAGGCTCCTGGCAACGAGAGAAGTTGTGGTCTGTATAGAAGGTGTTGGTAGATGGTGGCAGGTATTTTGATACCTTCTTTGGGGCAGGTATGAAGATCTCCAGGCCTCAGCATCAATAAAGACTGCTTCCCCAAGTCACAGGGAAATCATACAGGCTAATATCCTTTCCTAAGATGGCTCAATGGCCACACCCAATGCTCGCCTCTGCCTGCCACACACCACCAGGCTTTTTTTCTTTTACAATTTTAATGTTATTATTAAGGTGTTATAAAGAGGGGCGGCCATTTTATTAGCTAGGTAATGAGTATATTTCTTTTTTTTTTTTTTTGGACAATGTCACCCCTTCCCTTACTTTCCCCTAGTTTCCCCCTCTCCCATCTCTACTCACAAGTTACATAGATCAATTCGTTTCAATAACTAGTATTTGTAGTTATACCTTTGTGTTCCTCTCCTAAGGGTATCCTCCTTTAGTCTGTTTGTGTGTAAATGCCTGTATAAGTTATCATGTCCAGTTATATTTTAGATCTAGCTTCTACATATGAGAGAAAACATGCACTTGTTTGTCTCTCTTGAGTTTGGCTTACCTCACTTAGCACAATTTGTTCTTGGTTCATCCATTTCCTTGCAAATGACCTCTTATTCTTTCTAATGGATGAGTAAAATTCCATTGTATATATGTACATTGTATTGATCTGTTGTAGGGCATTTGGGTTGTTTCACTAACCTGGCTATTGTGAATAGCGCAGCAATAAACATGGATGTGCAAGTGTTTTCTTTACCATATTCTGTAATGATCTGGATAAATGCCCAGGAGTGGCATGGCAGGATCACAGGGAAATTCTATGGTTAGTATTTTGAGGAACCTCCAAAACTCCATCAACACTGCAATAGGATTCCTTTTTCTCTGCATTTCTTGTTGTTTGAATTCTTCATATTGACCAATCTAGATATCTCAATGTTGTTTTGAGTTGCATTTCCTTTATGGCCAGGGATATTGAGTGTTTCCTCAGATGTCTATATGACATTCTTATGTCTTCTGAGAAGTCTCTTCTTAGCTCTTTTACCCATTTATTGATTGGTTTATTAGTTTGGGGGTTGTTAGTTTTTTGAGCTCCTTATACATTTTGGACATTAGGACTTAGTTGGATGAATTGCTAGTGCAGATTTTCTCCCAGTCTGTTGGCTATCTTTCTAGTTTAGTAACTGTGTCCTTTGTTGTGCTGAAACTTTTGACTTTGATGTAATCCCATTAAGTCAAAATCTCTCTTCTATCTGCTGTACCTCTGGGACTCTTCAAAAAAGTTCCTTCCTATACCTGTAAAGTTCTAATTCTTCTCCTATGCCATCTTGCAATAGTTTCAAACACAAGTTGTCTTTATTCTAACACACATTTCCAACTCACCTTACCCTAATTCTGTCTCACTCTGGACTATTTCCTGATCTTTTCTCAGAGCCTCGAAGCCTACTTCAGATGCACAGGCACTAAGAGTCTTTCCTCAAGGTCTTTTCTTCTCTGACTTCTCTCTGCTTCCTGTTTCTTCTTGGCTTTTAGATTAAGAGATTCCAGCATAGGCCTCATTCCTGGTTTCCTGGCTGAAGGCAGGTTTGGCAGGAAGAGGCTGGGTGCCTCATTGCTAGTTCAGGGTAAAAGGCACAATGTTCAAACACGAGAGAGAAGAAAGGCACCCACCTGTTCCATTTCTCAGTGCCTGTCTCTGCATTATAAATAATTTTTTAGCCTAGATTTTAAAGAGTGACATGCAACCTCCTTAGCCAAAAAAAGCTCTGTTCCTGTCCTAGTTTGCCCATTATAAATTATTTGTGAGCTGGTAACACACAGCTCATTATAGATCTGTTTTCTTCTTCAATGGGTGTACTGACATTGAACATGGCCTGGCAGAGAATTCAATGAAGGCTTCATCATTACTGCTAGGAACACAAGCTTGCTTCTGCCAGTCTTTAGCTGGGATGCACTGCAGTGCCCACTGGAAATCGCTCAATGTCAGTTGGATCCCAGCTCTGAGACAAGAGGGAGCCCAGGTACCTGGGATGACCTTGCTGCCAATAATGAAGTCTAGGAACTGGGATCACAGGGTAGAAGACACTTAAGCATTCTGCCTCTGGGATTTTTTTTTTAAGACATTATTTTCATTCCAAACAATTCATCCATTTAAATGTACAGCTTGATAAATTTTGTTAAATATGAAGGGAGCACTTTTGGAGTATGCTTTTCTGACTATTCGTATATAGTTTTATGCAGGCATAGGCATTCATTTCTCTTGGGTCAATAAGAGAGATGTGAAATTGTGAAGTAATTCCATAAACATATGCATAACATATGTTTGTATGTTATATAAACATACATATCATTATATATCACTTTGATATTGTTATACAAAGTTAGCTATACCCTTTATGCTTTTCTAAAAACTATGGATGAGTGTCCTCGCTGCCACCTCAACTACTTGGAATTGTCAGTCTTTATTTATTTATTTGCTTCGCTTTTTTTTTTTTTTACTTTAGCCATGAATGTGTTTTGTGGTTTTGATTTCTGTTTTGCTGGTTCTGGGGCTTGAACTCAGGGTTCTGTGATCTCACTTGGCTTTTTTGCTCACAGCTGACACTTTAGTACTTGAGCCACACCTCTACTTCCAGCTTTTTGCTGGCTATTTAGAGGTAAAGAGTCTTGTGGATTTGCCTGCCCAGGCTGGCTTTGAATCAAAATTCTTAGATCTTGGGGCTGGGAAGTTGGCTCAGTGGTAGAGTGCATGCCTTGCATGCCAGAGGCCCTGGGTTCGATTCCTCAGCACCACATAAGCAAAAAGAAAAAAGCCGGAAGTGGCGCTGTGGCTCAAGTGGTAGAGAGCTAG